CAATTTGTTACAATAGTAAATATAATCAAATAACGGTGTCCACAAAGCATGGTGTAAACCTAAAACTACCTAGACATAATAAGGAATAGTAGCTACGTATAGACTCTTGTCACTTCGTGCGTACGTAGCCCCCAAAAATAACACATATTGATTAAGTTCACCTATGGGATCATTTCCCTCTAACAAAGTTAGAAAAGAGACTTACCTCGTCCCAAAGCCTACTCCAACTCAAGAATACGCTCAAACCCTCAAATCGGAGCCGAACAATCCAAACTATTCAAATAGTGTAAAAACTAATCAATATATGTTCAAAAGTTCATATTCTAACTATTAAAGTGATTACCCAACTCCAAAGGCAAGATTCCCAAAAGTCAACCCCGGGCTCACGTGCCCGGATTCCGAAAATTTTCGAAGGAAATGTTACACATAACCTTAGGAACATAAATATATAATTTTCACTAAGTTCCATAATCATTTTCATGGTTAAATCTCATTTATCAAAACCCTAGGTAAACCCATGATTTCTACCAATACACAGGTTATAATCTACCCATAAACTATGTATTTCACTTACATTATGTAGGAATCACTTACCTCAAAGCGTTGGGTGAAATTCCCTCTCTAAGAGCTCCAAGAATCGCCCGACAATGGAATAAAATGAGTCAAAAATGCCTAAGTCCCATATTAAATGAAGACAACTGCCCCAGCGATTTCCGCATCTGCGGTCCTCTTCTACGGACAAGGGTCCACTTCTGCGGAAATGCCCTGGGCTGGCTGGGTCGCATATGCGGTCGGGTAATCGCTTCTGCGGTCCCGCTTCTACGGAGGAGGGGCCGCATCTGCAGAACCTGGGTTGCCCTTCCTTGGCCGCTTCTGCGATGCTGGGACCGCACCTGCGGCTGACCAAGCGCAAGTGCGGTTATGATAGATCTGGGAAGCTTCAGCTCATGCTCCAAGTTTCTAACTTGGTCCGAGCCTCGTCCGATTGACACTCGGGGCCCCCGGGGCCCCAAGAGAACATACCAACAAGTTTGAGATCATAAAATGGACTCGTTCGAACTCTCGGAACGCCTGAAATAACATTAAACTAAGAATCACACCCTAAAACCAATTGAATCAATCTTAAGAACTTCAATTTACTTCCAATGTGCCAAAACGTACTTAAACTACTCGGAATGACACCAAATTTTGTGTGCAAGTCTTAAATGACATTACAGAACTATTCCTGGTCATGGATTTCCGTTTGAACCTCGATATCACCACAACCCGCTCCAAACCAAGTTTAAAGGAATTCTAAAACTTTCAAGAACCAACTTTCACTATTAGGTGCCAAAACGCTCTCGGGTCATCCAAAACCCGATCTGAACATATGCCCAAGTCTGAAATAATTTTATGAATCTAATGGAACCGTCAAATACGAATTCCGAGGTCATTTACTTAAAATATTGACCGAAGTCAAACTTGGTCATTTAAGCCAACCTTAAGGAACCAAGTGTTCTGATTCCAACCCGAACTCTTCCAAACCCCGAACTAACCATCCCCATAGGTCATAAATCAGTAAAAATAAGTACGGAAAGTTTTATTTAGAGGAATGGGGTTCTAGAAAGCAAAACAACCGGTCGGGTCGCTACATAAATTTCTTTTTATTTGTGGCGCATAATTTTTTGAAATTCCTTTCATGAATATGGAAGTTTATCTATTATGCCACGAACAATAAGGTTATCTCCAATTTTAATATCCTTGTACCTAAGCTCTCCAACGATCATTATGAAGTCTTGAGTTTGGTCTATTACAGATTTGTTGTCCACCATTTGAAAACAAAAAAAAATCTACTAGCACTATATTTTTTCGCACCTGCCTCCTCGGTATCATACTTACTATGCAATGCTTTCCAAATTTTTTTTGCAGTAGAGTAAGTTCTATCATAATAATCATAAAAATTATCAGATAAACAATTAAGAAGATAATACCAACATTTGTATGAATTATCGTTGTATTTTTTAATTTTTTCTTGAATCATCATTCATGGAGGAGTTATCTACTTTGCTTGGATTCTTCTCAGTTAAAACGTAAGAAACATTAAGAAGACTCAAATAAAAAAGTACTTTACCCTTCCATCTCTTGAAATGAGTACCTTTGAAACGGAATGGCTTGTTGAGATCTCCCACCTTGATATCAGCGGAATTTTCAATTGTAGCCATAATGAATCTTCTTAAAATTATTGATGAAAATACAATTACAGTTGAAAAATAAAATAAAGAAAATAAAATATCTTCAGGCTGAGGCGTATATATCTTTCTCTTTAAGGAGATTCAAGCCCACTGCAGCAAATTCTTTACTGGTCCAGCAGTAAGCCTCTTGACTTGTCTCCCCAGAATACAATAACCCGATCATGTTGTATCACTCGAACAAACTCTGGACAAGTTGTTGAGTCCAAAAGTCCACCAATATGAACACCTTCCTAACAAAAGTAAAAGCTCTCTTCTTCTTTTTTCACAACTTTAACATCACTTTATTCAAACACTCTACAATTATTTTTCACACCACATTATGGAAGAAAGACTCCTATTTATAGGTGTAAGAATTCTTCCTTGAATTAAATTGGAAGAAAGTAGGGTAATAAGTTATGAAATTATGGAGAATATGGGATAATGGTTAAATTATTATGTAATTAGTAGTAGAACATGGGAGAAGAGTTACAAAAGTGTTATGACCCTTTTCTACATCATGGAATAGTGAGAGTTATGGGAGTTATGTCCATTTTCTACATTATGGAGTAGTGAGAGTTATGACATATTTTATTTTTATAATAAAATGCTATTATACTAACATTATGCTTGTCGAGAACTATCTTTATTTTTTACTTACATGTACCATCTATCTTATTTCCATTCAATGAGAAAAAGACTAATAGTAAATAGCTATCTATAGAGATTATTATTCACCAACACCAAGTTGACACGTTGATCTATTTGGCATGGTGAATTTGGATTACACCAACTTATAAGCCTAATGATCTAAGTTTTTGCAAACCAATACAAAAATGTAATTATGTTGTAAATGAACTTACTGTATGGGTCAAAATCTAATCGAAGAGACCTCGCCTGAAATAGGAAAATCAAGAATCAATTAGGCTGAGGTCATACATAAGAAGCAGCATTGGCGAGTCGAGCAGCGAATGTCGAGGCCAAGCACTCAGATCGCCCAAAATGGCTAGTTTAGCAATAAGATATTTCTAAAGAATATTCGGAGGAATATTCTCTGTATTTGTACTTTCAGTAGGTAAGGGGAATGTCCCATGAAAGTAGAAAAAAGAGAGAAAGAAGGACATCCAATTATCTATCTTGATAAACTCTCTCTAGAAAAGTTGACTCCCACATAACTACAAACATTATCTTTATACAAGATTCGATTTGTTGTGTTGTTCCAAGATTTCCCACACTAGATCCGATAAAGTATTTGATGTTCACACGTTTGGCTATCTTACATCATTGTCAGAAAGAGAATCATCCACCTTGTTACACATTTGGGTGAATTATTCTCTTTATTTATAGCTATTGCCATTCATCATATTTATTGCTTGTCTTCATTCCTTCATTTATTCACAAGAATATCATTAAACCACTTTTTGGCCTTAAATAGCTTTAAATGTGGTTTCTTGGTTGTTACTTTCCACCAATCTTAGATCTAGAACTTATTATATTTAACTAAAATTTACCTATTATTATTCACTTAATTAGTTTAACAAAAAGATTTAAGACTTTTTGGTCAAATAATTTGGCGTCGTCTGTGGGGATTTCTCGTTAAATTTTTTAGTTTTTTCTAGATTTAAAAAAAATCTCGTTGTTTGCACAAATCTGACATGGCAGGAAATGGAAAGAAAAGAGAAAGGCGATAGCCGATCTCACCACCAATCTCCTAAACACTATCGATGGAGCTCATTGAGAGGACGAGGAGTACGTGACACCAAGCGCCTCACCCCGGCGAAGTGATTCACCCCCTTCTCATGGCATCGTTACCGCTTCTCATGGAAAGGGAGCCTCTACGTCCACTACGGAAGAAGCACCACCAGTGGTAAAAAAATCTACTAGAATCATGGCTAACAAATACACTGAACAATATACTAGACAAACCCGCTCAGAGGGCGAGCAGAGAGAGTGTACGAGTCAACATCGCCACAACAACCAATAGGAAACACACACAACCTCCCACTACAGGTACCACTCACCCTATTAATGATGCAGGTAATGACGCCCTCACTGCCATTTTTAGAAAAATGGAAGAGATGGAGAACGAGAACAAAGCACTCCCCGACCAAATGAGGGAATATCAAGAAAGGGTAGATAAGATACCGGGCACCCCAAAACTCCTACCAAAATGGGATGACGGCCGGTTCGTGGAACAACCATATAGCGACGAGGTCGCACCATATGCTATACCAAAAACTTTCAAAATGATGCCATATTTGAAAATATATGACGGCACAACGGACCCAGAGGATCATGTGACCCATTATGTTACTGCAGTGAAAGGCAACGACCTCGCAAAAAAACAAGTATCATCCATATTGCTGAAGAAGTTCGGAGAGACCCTAACCGGCGGGGCCCTGACTTGGTACTCGTAGTTACTTGCACGCTCCATAGAAACGTTAGAAGAAATGGCCGACAAGTACATCACCGCCTATGCCGGGGACAAGAAAGCAGAAGCAAGGGTGAATGACATATTCGCCATCAAGCAATCTCTTGGCAAGGGACTTAGGGATTTCCTTGCCCGGTTCAACCGTGTAAGAATGACCCTTCCAAATGTATATGAAGGAATGGCGGTGGCCGCTTTTTAGAATGGGCTGAGCAGAAGTGGGTCGAGGGCAACCAAAAAATTTCTAAGCCGACTCATGAAATACCCTCCAACCACTTGGGATGAAATACACAATGCCTACTATGACGAGGTAAGAGTAGACGAGGGATCTCAACAAGCCTACTCAATGCGTGACCTCGGTCTAAATGGAGTCTAGGAAAGATCGAAGAAATGACAACAGAAGAAATCTAGTAGGGTCACAACCTAATCGAGAAAGACATCAGCCTTACGTTAGAGGCACCATCATGCCACCTTTCTCTTTGACTGTAAAAGAATATGTGGAGCTCGACATGTCTGGAAGTACAGGAGAACGTTCGTTTGCTGATATTATTACCAGTATTCGATACTGGATCATTCATAGCATTACTATACCTTCCCTATTCATTGCGGGTTGGTTATTTGTCAGCACCATTTTAGCTTACAATGAGTTTGGAAGCCCTCGGCCAAAAGAGTATTTTACAGAGAGCCGACAAGGAATTCCATTAATAACTGGCCATTTTGATCCTTTGGTACAACTTGATGAATTTAGTAGATCGTTTTAGGAGGCCCTAATGACTATAGATCGAACCTATCCAATTTTTACAGTACGATGGTTGGCTGTTCACGGCCTAGTTGTACCTACCGTCTTTTTTTTGGGATCAATATCAGCAATGCAGTNATAGGCTATCCAACGATAAACTTAATCCGAATTATAGAGCTACGACACAATCAAACCCGAACGAACAAAATGTTTAATTGAATAGTATCAGTAGACAGTAACATATTCTTCCATGGAGCTAAGGTCCAAAATATGGAAGAAACAAGCGTTTCCACGACTCTACCACCTAGTCAATTCTGTTCCACTTAATCTTTCTTTCATGGCCACATATCTTTCCGGCTAAGGGATGGGAAATCTTTCTCCGGTTATATGAATACAATTTTCATTTCATCTGGAAAAAGCCATCTTTTCTCAACAATGTCTTTGTCATTTGATCCAATAGCCTTTCCAGTCATTCTAGATACAAATTTTAAATATTGGATTTTCCGTTATTTAAATTGTCTGTCTCTGTCACTTGTAGTTATTTATCATTCAATGAATGACTGATAAAGGATCCATTGATATTAATCTAATCCAATTAGAATGCTTGGTACTTTGTAGTTGTACATAAGCAAAGTATTGAAAATCGTATTTACTCTTTCTATTTCTAACCATCGGGGAGATTCATCCTATATTATTCCTAGATTATTCATGCCTACTGTGCCTAGGTAAGAGCAGGCGAGGGATCTCAACAAGCCTACTCAACGCCTGACTTCGGTCCAAATGGAGTCTAGGAAAGACCGAAGAAATGACAATAGAAGAAATCTAGTAGGGTCACAACCTAATCAAGAAAGACATCAGCCTTACGTTAGAGGCACCCTCATGCCACCTTCACATTACGAGAAAAGTCCATCCAGACCGTAAATGGGAACCCACCGAAATGAAAGAGGTATGCCCCCTTGTTATCAGCTCACAATTTTTGTGTTCCCCCCTCAAAAATAGTCTATGCATTGGAAAAGCTCAGCCCAAAGGTAAAATGGCTGCAAAAATGAAGTCCGACTGGAGCACCAGAAAATTAAATGCCCTTTGCGAATTCCACCAAAAACGAGGACACAAGACCAAGGAGTGTATCATCCTCAGACAAGAGTTCGTGAACATGCTTCACCAAGGGCACCTAAAAGAGTTGATGAGCGATCGAGGAAGGGCTAACTTCGCACGAGGGCGAGAACAACATCAGGGGCTGCCCAAACCACCTTCCTTAGTTCGTACCATTCAAATGATTATCAGGGAACGCGACGACACATCTATCAACAGCGTGAATTTCACCACTACTCACAAGCTCAAGCGATCAATCACCCACGAATGGTATGACGAACTCGGAGAAAGTATCATCTTCGATAAGTCAGATACCCACAGTTTGGTCTTTCCTCAATATGATGCCTTTGTCATTACTTTACGTGTTTTTGATACTGATGTAAGATGTATCATGGTCGATGATGGAAGCAGCGCGTGCATCATCCATCCTCGAGTTCTCACCCAAATGATGCTCGAGGACAGAATAGTGCCACGTTGCATCACGCTAACAAGTTTTAACAATGCAGTTGAGCGGACATCTGGAGAAATCATGTTGCCCGTCCTGGCCACCAGCGTCACCTTGGAGACCACGTTCCACATCATGGACCGGGATACAACATACAATGCCATCATAGGCTGACCATGGATACACGATATGAAAGTCGTCCCCTGTAGTTTGTACCAAGTCATTAAACTTCCTACCCCCTAGGGAGTATTTAGCATTCGGGGAGAGCAACACATGGCCTGAGAATGCTATCGCATCGCCTAAGATTGCACATATACCTAATAGTTGAAAGGAAAAGCCGAGGAAGCATAGCAATAAATGAAGATAGGTCGGATGGTGAGGAAACGAAAAAATGTCATCCACGACCCTGAAATCATAGAAGCCACGGGGTCAACCGTAGAGGACCTCTACCCCGTGTAATTAGACAATGACGACAACCTAAGTAAGAAAGCTTTCATCGGCCATAAACTCCAAGATCCAGGTAAATTTCATCAATTTTTTAAAAAATAACTTGGACCTGTTCGCTTTTTCCCATGCAGACATGCCAGGTATCCCAAAGGAAATAACAACTCACAAGTTGAACGTCGACCCATTTTACCCCTCAATAAGACAAATCAGACGAAAGTTCAACTCGACAATAAACGATGCAGTTCGTGAAGAGGTCGAGAAATTACTAGTGAACGGTTCTACCAGGGAATTGAAGTACCCTCAGTGGGTCGCCAACATAGTCATGGTGAAAAAGAAGAACGGTAACTAGAGAATGTGCGTGGAATTCACACTCCTGAACAAAGCATGTCCAAAAGACTCATTCCCGCTACCTCACATCGACTAACTTATTTGCGCCACAACCGGGCACGAACGGCAGAGTTTCTTGGACGCCTACTTGGGCTACAACAAAATCCTCATGGAGGAGGAGGACCAGGAAAAAACCACCTTCATCACCCACCAGGGGACGTACTACTACAGAATGATGTCGTTCGGGTTAAAAAACACGAGGGCAACGTAAAAGAGGCTGGTGACCAAAATGTTTAAAGAACAACTCGGCAAAACCATGGAAGTATATATTGATGACATGTTGGTCAAGTCAAAAAGAAAGGAAGACCATATCGACCACTTGAGGGAGGCCTTCGACATACTCAGAAAGTACGGCATGAAATTAAACCCCGAGAAATGTTCTTTCGGCGTGATGTCTGGGAAATTCCTCGGCTTCTTGGTATCACAACGAGGCATTGAGGTCAATCCTGATAAAATTAAGGCCATAGAAAAAATCCCAGAAAATCTAACCAACAAACACTGACAGGCCGAATAGCCGCCGTGTCAAGATTCATCTCACGATCCTCCAATAGACGCCACAATTTTTTTGGCATACTCAAAAAGGACAATGCACTCCAATGGAATACCGAATTCATCAAAACCTTGAAAGAACTGAAAGCCTACATGTCTTCGCCAACGTTGCTCGCTAAGGCAGAACCCGGAGAATGCCTCCATGTCTACATAGCCGTGTCTGATGTCGCAGTAAGTGTAGTCCTGGTATGCAAAAATAAAGTTTCACAATCTTCAATCTATTACATTAGCAAAACTTTGGTCGACATTGAAACGAGGTACTCTCACCTCGAGAAGTTAGCTCTGGCCCTGGTCGTAGCTTCACGGAAGCTTAGACCTTATTTCCAGTGCCATCCCATCTCGGTGGTCACGACTTCTCCTTTAAGGAGTATCTTGCACAAACCCGAATTATCAGGAAGATTAACCAAGTGGGCCATAGAGCTGAACGAGCACGATATAACCTATTATCCACGAACAACGATAAAGTCGCAAGTTCTTGCCAACTTCATCGCCGACTTCAGTGCGAAGATAATGTTCGAAGTCAAGAAGGAAACCACCATCACTTCTACCAAAGTACACAACACATGGGTCCTGTACACCGATGGCGCTTCTAACGTATCTGGATCTGGACTGGGACTAGTGCTCGAGGTCCCAACAGGCGAAGTGGTTTGCCAATCCATACGATGCCCTGATATGACTAACAACGAGGCCGAGTATGAGGCCGTGATTACAGGTTTGAAACTAGCACTCAAATAGGGAGCACGACGAGTCATCCTTCAATGCGACTCGCAACTCGTCGTCAATCAGGTCATAGGGACTTTCCAAATTAAGGAGCAATGGTTACAAAAATATCAGACTGAGATTTGCAAACTATTACCCGTGTTCGACGAATGCCAGCTCGATCAAATACCTCGAGTGCAGAACATCGAAGTAAATGGCCTCGCCAAATTGGCAACGGCCACCAAAAGCATAACAGGACAGGGGGACATGGTCACTCTCCTCCATTCATTGCTAAAACAAATCGAGATATGCTCTATAAACCTAATTTGGGACTGGCGCAATCGTATTATCTCATACTTACAGGACGGAGTGCTCTCACCCGATAAAAAAAGCCAAGAAACTTCGAATTCATGCGGCTAGGTACAACGCCATCAATAACGACTTGTAAAAACGAACATTTGGCGGCCCCCTAGCAAAGTTCTTAGGGACAAATCAAACACGGCGCGTCCTCGAAGAAGTACACGAGGTCCATTGCGGAGCTCACACTAGAAATCAAGCTCTCGTTAGACGCCTCATACGGGCGGGCTACTATTGGCCCACGATGAAGAAGGAAGTCGCCGATTTCGCCAAAAGGTGCGAGCAATGCCAAAGATATGCCCTCATGATTCACCAAGCGGGCGAACACTTTCATTCAGTCACTTCGTTATGGCTTTTCATCAAGTGGGGAATGGACATCGTCAGATCCCTCCTGGCGGGACGAGGTAATGTACGATTCCTTTTAGTTTAAACTGACTATTTCTCTAAATGGGTAGAAGAATGTGCATTCACCCAAATAAGCGAACAAGAAGTAATCACGTTTATATGGAGAAACATCATATGCCACTTCGACATCCCCAAAGAAATCAGCTGCGACAACGGTCCCCAATTCACTGGAAAAAAGACCGCCGAGTTCTTTAAAAAATGGCACATCAAAAGAATACTCTCCATGGGTGCAGGCAACGGTCAGGAAGAATCCTCCAACAAAACAATATTGAATATCATGAAAAAGAAACTCGAAAACACCAAGGGATGATGGCTGGAAGTGCTACCAGAAGTGTTATGGGCATATCGCACCTCGCCAAAGACGAGCATAGGGGAAATGCCATACTCACTAGTATATGAGACTGATGCAATGATACCGGTCGAGGTCGGGGAGCCTAGTCTGAGATACTCAAATAAAGCGGGCAAAGCAACGACGAGAATAGAAGGCAGGACCTTGATGAAGCCGAAGAGTAAAGAGACATGGCTTACATGAGAATGATAGCTAAAAACAACATGCAGAGCGGTACTACTACAAAAGCCAAATTCAGGCCACTCAATGTCAAAGATTACGTATTCAAAGCCAAAATACAAGCAAGCAAAAAGACCCACGAGAAGGCAAACTGGGAACCAATTGGGATGGCCCATATAAAATCACGGCGGCAGCAAGCAAAGGGTCTTCCAACTAGAAACAATGGAAGGAAAATTACTACCAAAAAATTGGAACGTCGCCCACCTCAAATACTTCAACTTCTAAGGATAGACGTCTCCTAAGTCGTACTCTTTTTTCCCTTACCTGAGTTTCCTGATTGGATTTTCTCAGGGAGGTTTTTAATGAGGCGACGAAGAGAGCATCTCAGAGTTTTTGGTATAAGTTCATTGCTCGACCTGTCAACTACTTTTCCAGGTCAACCAATGAAGGGACTAGATGGACTGGGACTTCAGAAAAATATGCAAACTTCAACGTATGTAAACTTCTCCAATGAATGTATAAACAAAGCAAAATATGCACGCATGAATTTATCTCCACCAAGTTCATATATTACGCCAAGTCAAACATTCGACCTCGCTCGAATTTATTTACATTCGACCTCGTTCGAATCATTTACAGAGTCACACATTTGACCTCGTTCGAATCGACTCACATTCGACCTCGCTCAAATTTATTCACATTCGACCTCGTTCAAATCATTTAAAGAGTCAAACATTTTCCCTCGCTCGAATCTACTCACATTCGACCTCGTTCAAATCATTTAAAGAGTCAAACATTTTCCCTCGCTCGAATCTACTCACATTCGACCTCGCTCGAATTTATTTACATTCTACCTCGTTCGAATCATTTAAAGAGTCACACATTCGACCTCGCTCGAATCGACTCACATTCGACCTTGCTCGAATTTATTTACATTCTATCTCTTTTGAATCATTTAAAAAGTCAGACATTCCACCTCGCTTGAATTGACTCACATTCGACCTCGCTCGAATTTATTTACATTCGACCTCGCTCGAATTTATTTACATTCGACCTCATTCGAATAAATTAAAAGGGTCAAACATTCGACCTCATTCGAATCGACTCACGTTCGACCTCGTTCGAATCGACTCACATTCGATCTCGTTCGAATCGACTCACATTCAACCTCGCTCGAATTTATTCACATTCGACCTCGCTCGAATCGACTCACATTCAACTTCGCTCGAATCGACTCACATTCGACTCCGTTCGAATTCACTAACATTCAACTTTGTTCGAAATTTATTAATATTCGACCTTGTTCGAATCAACCAGCGTTTGACCTCGCTCAAATTAATCGACATTTGATCTCAGTCACGTCAACTAAGTTAAGAACTCTTACAAATGAAAAGGCATATGAAGAAAAACGAAAAGAGCCAAAACATACATCAAAAAGACAATAGTCATTCCATTCCAAAATAGAGAATATCTTAAAAAGGGCCAAAAAGACCCCCCCCCCCCC